AGATGTTAGTGAAAAAAGATAAGCACACCTAATGGTTTGCCAGTCCCTGACATTTCCTCTGGTAAAGTAAATCCCTGAGTGAGGGTAACTGTGCTAATCACCAGGGAATGGACTTCATCTGTGAAGTTGCTGAAGGACTATGGTAATAAGTCAATGTGATAATTCACCTTCCTAACATGATATGTAGACTATCATTGCAGTATGATTATTATAGTTAAATATAACATAGTTTCACCTCCATAGAAAACTTGAATGGAAGTATACTAGCACACAAACCTGGAAGTTATAGCATGTGAATCTCTTCCTGGAATAAAAGGTATTCTTATGTAAACCTATATTTATTAGTTATAGATGTAGTAACTGAGTATGTATTTAATAAACAGTGGTAAAAGGGCTGGCTTGAAAACTCTCTCCTGTACTTGGGAATGTAACATAAAGGAAAATTACAGTGTGAGTATTTGCAGTGTCAGACAAGACCAAATATATTTTATTTCTCCTGGTTCAATCATGCTCTACTGCTAAAAGCAAACTGACGCAATGCCTTCCCTCACTATTTCTTGTTGCTATTGATTAAAAACATGTCTTTGTGCAGGACAGGGCTGGACTCTACAGTTCAAGTATATTTGTCTAACACTTAGTTCTTTATTTCAGTTTGAAAATTGCTAAAGTGTACACGACTTACAGATTCCTTTTTATGTATCTCACATTCATCGCATATATTTGAGTGTTTTCTCAGTTTTACTTCTACTCATCAATACAACAAGTACTAACTGTATGAATAATGTTAAGGGAAGTATTTTCCTAACTTAATTTTCTTTTCATGCTATTTCAGCGTACATATTTGTGCTTCATGTTCTCCATTACATTTGGAGAGTGATGACATTAATAATTAATTTGTAGTTACCAATACAGCCTTTACCCCTGTAATGGAAACAATGCATATTTCTGGTGGCATTATAAATATCAGGTTCATGTTGTGTTTGTGAGATGAACTTGGGAGATAGGACAGCTTTCTGTTACAACAAGCCATATTTAGATAACTTCATTTTAGTAAAATCTCAGAAGCTTTATTGGCACTTCACGTTTTCCTATGAAATAAACCTTTATTTCAAAATGAGAACTAAATTTTACAAATATTTATTTATCTATTTTTGTGTACCTAATGTTTGCCTGAATATATATAAATCCCTCTCTCTCTCTTGCTCTCTCTCTCTCTCTCTCTTGCTTTGTGTGTGTTATGGTAATACAGTGCCAGAAAAGGATAAAAGAGGAGGCCAGAACCTCTGGAATTAGAGTTTCATGTAGTTATGAGCTTCTGTGTTGATTCTGAAAAGCATCTCAGGTCCTCTCCAAAAGCAGCAAGTGTTCCTCACCACTGAGCTATTTTTCTAATTCTTCAATCTAAAGAGTTTTTGCAAACATTAACAAAGTGAACAGAGTGTCAAGTGAGGAATAAAAACTGCATATAAAACTGGAGTGTATTTGAGACTAGATCTCATATCATTGTGATCAGGGACAGAAGTGACTGTGTTTGTTCCAAAATGCCTATGTTTAAGACTGTCCAGTATGCACTCTGACAAGGGCTTTTGCATTTATAACTCACTTAACTTTTGTGTTTCTAACTTCTGGTCTTGACACTGTAAATAAATTTACTGCCTTATCAGATGGTTATTAAAGTCAATGAAGGTGTCAAATACATTGGATACTAGTAACTCACAAATTGTTATTGCTAATTGCCATTTACCCACATAATTATAAAAAAAATTGCATCTGCCATTCCTTATAACATTCAGGGTTCAAAAAGAGTGAGTACTGAAAATGCAGTAGGAAGCCACTATGAAATCTAATAGAAAAGGAAAGATCTAAGATTGAATGTGGAGATGGGTCTTTATCATGGCTCTGTACAGGATTCTATGAAAATCGAGGAACACTCTACACTGGAACTGCCTACATTGGAGAGTCTTCAGAACAAGTAAGAATGTCATCTTCATAACATGTCTCATGGTGTCACTGAAAATGTAACTGATCTGATTAATGAACAATGCAACTTATCACTTCTTGAAACAAAGGGTGCACATATTTCTCAATAGCAGATAAGATATGTGTGTCCCTGACTCACTGGCAATTCCAGTTACTACAGACATGTTATCTCTTACTGTTATTTCAGTCAAAATATGGGTCTGAAAGATCATAGAATATGCTCAGGTATGATTGAGGACACCAGACACATGAAATCAAGCTTTTCGTTTCGAGTTCATTGAATCGGATAAGACTGTGTTCATGATAGTGTTAAGAAAGTTATAAAATCAGTGGGATTGCAGCACTTGTATTGGCCCTTAGGTGTAGTGTTGATCCACATTAGAGATATTATAGGGAGAAAAGCTGAAGGTTTTGAATAATACATTTTGGCACACATACTATAAAAATAAGCTAATCTCTTTAAAAAATATATATTCTATTTTAAGTTGAACTCCTGAAAATAAGATGATGTGAGTATTAACTGGGAGAACACTGGTTAATACCCTTTGAACACACACCTGATTTCCTTAGCAGGTTTTCAGTGTTTTTGTTCAAATTCTTACAGAACTTCTGACTGTAGTTTGGATTTTTGACCTTCCTCTTGGAGTTGCTTAGCCACCTACAGAAGATGCTGATCCAACCGGTTCTGCTGAATGTTTGAAGCTAAATGCTGATCAACTTCCTATTTTTACAGGCTGTGAGCATCTGTGTAGTCTTCCAGCAGAGCAAAATCTCAAACACACTTAGTTCATGCTGTGGAACCATCAAAGCAAATGTTGGCATAGTGGCTGCTTGGCTCCTGGTGCATGGTGACCTCAGCACATGCCCACCCAGGTGGCCAGCAGTAGACACCCATGCACCTCCAGGCATAATGCCATAAGATCTTCAGAAGCTGGAATTGGAAGGTGTTTTTCTATCTTGTGTGAAAAATTAATTGATCATGGGCTGCCACTGGTGATCTTCAGGTCAAAGCTCCCATTATTCTTGCTAGGAGATATAAAATGTCAACTTATTTGTGTGGCTACTCTTCTTTTTTCTTTTTTTATTAATTACATTTATTCACTTTGTATTCCAACTGTAGCCCCCTCCCCCTTCCTTCCGAATCCCACCCTCTGTATGTCTTCTCCACCCATGCCCCTCCCCCAGTCCACTTCTAGGGGAGGTCCTCCTCCTCTTCCCTCTGATCCTAGTCATTCTTAAAATTGGGATTACTGGATCCCAGAGTAATTTCCCCTTCCATGTTAGCATGTCTGTTGGTGTCCTTTTCCAGGTTTTTTTAGACAGCCATACTTTATGAAAGTAGTTCCATGATATTTCTTGGAGATGAAATCATACAGCTGATACCTGTTCCTCTGGGTCTTACTATCAACCTGCCTTTTCTGTCACAATGTTCCATGAGCCTCATGTGCAGGGGTTGTATTGTACCTGAATCAACGGGGCTTCACACCACACAATCACTTGCTTTCTGAATTTCTGTCATCTAAGATTTTTTTTCTAATGACCTTATTTTGCAAAGAGAATTCTCTTCTCAGCATTTAGAGCTACATCAAGACTTGCTGAGAGGAGGCAAATGTAGTCTTTCTTATGGAAGGGGCTAAAATTGTTTATACAGTTTCAAATGGTAAACACTTAATCCACGTACATACAAAGGACATTATACAGACTCAGCAGAGATACTTAGAATTCATATTACGGGATGCTATAAAGGCAAACAAGAAGATAAAACAGATCTTGTCAGTCACCAGGATTGCACCAGAGCTTGAAGAATCTCAAAGACCCATGAGGGTTATGAATGTTAATGCACTGACAGAAAAGAAATCTGCTGAGTCCACAATATATGTGGAACAAATAATAAACAAATGATAAGTCTTATGAGAAAATGCTTTTAAAAAGTGAACTCAATAAATCGGTAAGTAATGTGGCCAAACAGAGCTGAGTACAGCTCTCAAGGAAGAATCAATTGCCCTCTTGTTCCTTTGGCAGCTGGCTTCTAGCATAAAAGTCTTTCCTGATAAACGGCGGGGCTGTGTACACTCACAACAGGAAGAAATGCAAAGACATGGAGCTCTCACAGAAACAGTTCAAATAATGACCCTAGGCCCCACAAGCCAGTACTTAGCACTGAGCCACTGCCTATGAGGCCTGTAATGTTTTTCCTGCTGGGAGAAGGAGAGCACAGGGCAGTGGCTCTCTGAGGACTGGAAGGGCTGGAAAGAGTGTATGATAGGAGTTCATGATGTGAAATTCCTAAAAAATACTAATAAAAATTTTATGTGTCAAAAAAAAAAAAAAGACAGAGATCCCAGAAACACACAGTTACAGGATGAAAGCAAGCAGTTTACCAGAAAGTAATTTGTAGGAGAGTTTGTAGAACAGAGCTGTGTACTTTCCCATGGGTCATTTCATGAAAAGGGCTAAAAGGGAGAAGGTAGGTGTCAGTTTCAGGTTAAATAAAAGATGCCTTCAGCTGAAACAAGATGGGGGAACATTTAGCCTGTCATCAGATCTCCTATGTTTTAATTTTAGATAAGGTACAACTTAAAAATCAATATAATTAATTTTTTGTCATTATTAAAATTATCATTTTCTACAAATTATCTAGCAAATATGGGTATATTCTGAAATTCTGTTTGTGTGTGATGTGACTTTTTCACTGTTTTTCACAGGCAACATTACACGGTCTTGAATGTTGCATTTTCTCTGAAACATGGTGCCACTCCTTCCAGCAGTATATCCACACTAAGTTCTTGAGCAATATCACAGTAACATACATGAAAATCTACTACTTTGTCAAAATTTGTGAGATGACATTTTCATGACACGTAGGCTGGCCTTTAACAACTGAGCTTAAAGGACTCTGTTTCACCCTGTCAATAGCTACAAGGATTCAAAGTCCTCTTTTCCCACAAACTACAGCATTTCTTTTTATTCATTTTGACCCGAGAAATCTCCATAGCCATAAACTCAAGGAAACTGTGTAGAATCACAGAATGTACTTCTGGAATGTGGCCCTCAGAATCATTTTTCTATTACAAACTACAATTGGAATTCTGGGAAATTTCTCTCTTATTTTATACTATCTCATTCTTTACTACAGACAGTGCACATTAAAGCCCACAGATTTGATTCTCATGCACATAATGACAGCCAATGCCTTGATCATTCTTTCCTTTGGAGTGCCTAACACAATGACAGCTTTCGGGATGAAGCAGTTCTTGAATGATTTTGCATGCAGGTTCCTGATATACATTCAAGGAATTAGCAGGAGTGTGTCCATTGGCACCACCTGCCTTTTGAGTGTCTTCCAGGTCATGACAATCAGTTCCAGGGAATCCTGTTGGAAGGATTATAAACACATTGCTGTCAAGTATATTGGCTCCTTCATTTCTGTCTTCTGGGTATTCTCTATGTTGATAAATTTCTTTACCTCTATGCACTCATTTAACAGTAGGAATAGTAAAAATATGACCAGAAAACAAGATTATGGATACTGCACAATTGTAGCCCGTAATGAAATCAGTGACTTACTCTATACAGCACTGGTAATGTGTCCCGAAGTCTTTCTTTCTGTGCTCATTGCCTGGTCCAGCATGTTTATGATTATCTTTCTGTACAGACACAAGCAGAGGGTTCAACACATCCGCAGCACTCATGGTTCCAGCAGAACCTCCCCTGACTCCAGGGCCACCCAGAACATCATGCTCCTAGTGTCTTCCTTTCTGGCTTTTTATACTCTTTCCTCCATCTTACGAGGCTGCATTGCTCTTTTTCATAATCACAATTGGTGGGTAACAAACATCACTCCCTCCATTTCTCTGTGGTTTCCATCTTTTGGACACTTTGTTCTTAGGAAGCCTTGCTCATTTCGGTCCAGGCTTATATGGTTTGGATCAGAAATAAAAAATATTTAATCTTATATGTTGAAATGATATGTTTTGTGTGATGTCTACTTTTTTACTACCTCCTTAACTTTAAAAGATCAGTAAAGAATTATCACCATAGTTCAATACAGTTGGAATCTCCTCATTGCCAAACTTTGGGCAGAGTGCAGGTTATCTTAGGAAAGAAGTGAGAGATCAAAAGATCTGGACTGGACAGGTACTCCAAAAGGAGACCAACAGAGCCATAAAAACTGAGCCCAAAGGGCCCCTAAAGAGAATGATGCCCCAACCAAGAACAAGGCATTGAGAGGATGTACCAAGGCTCAAATGTAGCTCATAGACTCAGTCTCCTAGTGAAGTGTCTTAGTAAGGGGAGCAGGGATTTTCTCTGGAATGAACTCAGTGACAAACTCTCTGTTCAACTCCCCTGGGGGTGCAGCCTTGCCAGTCCACAGAGGAAGACAATGCAACCAATCCTGATGAAATGTGACAGGCTAGGGTCAAATAAAAGGGAAGGAGGACCTTCCTTATCAGTGGATTTGGAGAGGGCCATAGGGGGAGAAGATAGTGGGAGGGTGGGTTTGCAAGGAGATGAGGCAGGGGATGACAGCCAGGATACAAATTTAATAAATTGTAATAAATGATGATGATGATGATAATGAAAAAAATTCAATACAGAAAGTTAAGCTGGTAGCACCTTGTCTTTCTAAGATTAACTAAATGAGTATTAGGGTTTTGTCAGCTGGTGGAATTAGCAGCCTACAAGAACTGATCATAGTGCTCATAGCTCATTGTGCATGCAACTTTTTCTCCTTGGGTCTTCCTCTTGCCCATCTGATATGCAAAGGAACTAATGATTAAATCCCCTGCCTTGTTGGCTTTCATCTAATCGGGGCATCTTGACTGCTTGTTATTTCACTGAGACCCTGACTGTCCTGAACTCCAATTGCAAGGAAGACTGAAACTATAACTGACCATGCACTTGTGCCTCATGAGACCCTGGTACAGTCACCACTGCTTCATCCTGCATGCATTGCAGAAAACTCCTTTGCCCATAACCTCTCCAGTAGACTCCTTGGGTTATTTCACAGAAATCTCTATTGGGTGGCTGTAAACCTTTGGCAACAGTTCTCTCCAACATTTGCCAAGAAGAAAAACACATTCCCTATCCACACACCAAGACAAAACCACATCATTCTTATGTTTTGTACATTGTACAAAAATCAATTTTAAATCAGTAATTGTTATGATGTTAACTTACATTTTCTGTGCTAGAATTTTATTGAGAATTTTATATCTATAGTCTACATGAGATTGGTCTATAATTTTCTCTTTTGCTGTGTTTTTCCTTTTTGTTTTTTAATATCTGGATAGTTTTCCTCTCATCAAAAAAGAATGTAAGATGCCTTTCATTTTTTTTCTCATTGATTTGAGTATTATTGGTATTAGTTTTTAGAACACCCAGCAGAATTCTGCTGTGAATCAAGTGCTTTTAAAGTTAAACATTTTCAAAATTACTACCTCAGTCTTTGTCATAAATTGAGATGCTGTAATTTTGTCACTTTATGTCAGGTACTTTGTTTTGTTTAATGGGTTTGATTGTTTTACTGCATTGTGAATTCATTATCATCATGTTGTACTTTGAGGTCAAGAGTTGTTATCTTTCAGATTAGATCTTAACCCTTAGAATTGCCTTAAGTATTTGTAATATTTTATGATGTCATACTAATTCTACTTTTTTTCTTTACTTGTAAATTATGGAAAAAGGGAGGGATTCAACATGGCGGCCCCTGGAAGACATTGTCTGAGGAGGACAGTAGTGACTGCACAGCGACCAACAGACTGAACTCTGGTCCCTAAAACACCAGTGATTGTGTTTCCCAGGTGAGAAGAAACCCCATGGTGTGGGAAACAATTGTATCTGTATGGTCTCAGGTCACCTAGCTAAACCCTGGAAGAGTTACAGAGTCCTGGCAGGCACTCAATTGCCAGCCCAGAGCCACAAGCCTGTGTGCACCGATAATTATCCCAGACTGAACTGTGGGCCCCACATACCAGAGACTGGGTTTTAAAGTCAAAGGAAAACCCCGTGGTGAAGGAAGTAATAAGCACCAAGCTCAGGCCACCCAGACAACCCCTAGAATAGGTCTTGAGATCCTGCAGGTGCTTAGCCACCAGCCCAGAAGCCAGCCTGCTCACCAGACTCACCTTCCCAGACAGAACTATGGGCCCCAGGGCACCAGAGACTGAGTTTCTCTGTTACAAGGAAGCTCCACAGTAAGTGAAAGATCAGGTCCATTCTCACAACACTGTTGTAGGTGGTGATTAATATTTACTATTGATTTATCTTCTGGTAATGCTGCTGTTAATCCTAAGCAACTGTATAACCAAATCACGACACAGACACTGGGTTTATTTAGTTAACCTAGAACACAATGCTGGGCAATAGCTACTCCATCCTAAATCTCCAAGCCCTCATAGTTTCCTAACATTTAAATTTCCCACATTATACTTGCTTTTAGTGTTATCTTAGGTCCAGTCCATCTCTCCATGTAGTTCCAAGATCTTTCCTCCAGTTCTCCTCTCCAAGCTCTCTTCTCACCCTTTCTCCTCCCACTCATTTCCTGCCTTCTGGCTCCTCCCCTCTTTCCTGTCCTCTGGCTCAACATTGCCTCTAGTTGCTTTATTTTGCTCTGTTTACACAAGAGTTGAGACAGGATGCTTAGAATGAGTATCACAATGCAATATCCAGATTGAAACCAGAGAGTGGGGGGGGGAGATATCAGCATTTGAATGAACAAAGGTAAGGAGTATACATTTCAAAAGAACATTATACTAACACAACACTTAGCCAACCTCAAATCCAAAGTACACCAGAAAAGTTCTGGTTTCTTGTAGGCACCCACTCCCCAGCACAGAGCCACTCACCTGTGCCCGTGCTTTCTACTCACCATCTCAGACTGAACTGTGGACCCCAGAACACCACAGACTGGGTTTCCCTGTCAGGAGGAAACCCTACGTTGGGGGAAACATCAGGTCTGACCTCAGGACACCCAGCTTTGGAAAAGTTTCTGGATTCCTGGAAGCTCCAAGCTCTAGTCTCCTACCACAGGCTTGAGTGCTGCACTTACCTGCCAGTGATTACTGCTTGGGTACTGGGGCTCAGAGCCCCACCATCAGACCTACAGAAGTATGGAATCCACAGGATCAGCCCTAGACACTGCACAATGAAACAACCTGTCTTCCTAGCTAAACTGACAAAACTGCAGGGCTTCCTGGTACTCCAAGAAGGCTGCTCCCAGAAAACTCAGTGTAAGAGCAGCAGCAGCAGCTCACTAAATTCAGAGAAAGAAATCCAGCAGCAGGACAATTGTCTCTAGGACTTCTGCTGGAGAGAGGAGTGCCCCCCTTGATACCAACTACCACAGTTACCAAACAGGTCCATATGCCTGAGGTGAACTGTGGCAATTCCTGAGAAGCACCAGCCTTTTGGGGATCTTACCCAAAAAGCTGAGGAGGCACTTTCAGGATCAACCATCTTCCTGCAAAGGGGATTCTTCTCACCCCAGGATTCCAGGAGGCACAGGAAACTAACAGCAAACACCCAAAACAGCCAGATGGGTAGAAGCCAGCATAAAAGCACAACCTTCAAAAGCCAAAGCAATACAGCATCTCCAGAACCCAGTTATCCAGGGACAAGCAGCCCTGGACACCCTATTATAAATTAAAATCAAGAGGATGACCTTATATCTATGCTTGTGAAGAGGATAATGAAGGAAACAAATAAAATATGTAAAGAAATAGAGGATGATAAATCAAACAGCTATGTTCATTAAAAAAAAATAGAAGAATATAAAGAAAAACAGATTATGGCCATCTGTAAGGAAATACAGGAAGGTTCAGCCTAACAGTTTGTGGCCTTCAGAGAGGAAATAATTAAGTCACTGAAATAAATAAATAAATAACAAAGGAATGTTCAAACATACAGTTGAATGAATTGAAGGAAAAACAGGAAAATACAGTCAAATAAGTGAAGGAAATCCTCAGTTCAAGAACTGAAGATAGAATTGGAATAATTAAAGAAAATGCAAACAGGAAAAATCATGAAGAGGAAGAACTTAGGGAAGAAAACAGGAACTACAGAGGTAAGCATAACCAACAGACTACAAGAGATGGAAGGAAGAATCTCAGGTGTGGAAGATACAATGGAATTAATCGATGTATCTGTCAAAGAAAATGTTAAATCTAAAATATTCCTGACACAAACTGTCCAAGAAATCCAAGACAACATAAAAAGACAAAATCTAAGAACAACAGGAATACAGGAAAATGAAAATTCCCATCTCCAAGGCCCATAATATATTTTCAACAAAATCATAGAAGAAAATTTCCCCAATTTAAAGGAGAGGCCTATAAGCATACAAGATTATGAAAACCTACTGAAAACCTAATAAGTAAGACTAGAAAAGAAAATCCTCTCACCACATAATAATCAAAACAGAACGTATACAGAGCAAAGAAAAATACTAAAAGCTACAAGGGAAACAGGCCAAGTAACATGTAATGGCAAAACCATCAAAATCACTCCTGACTTCTCAACAGAGACTATGAAAGCAAGAAAGACCTGGAGAGGTATCATGCAGACCCTAAGAGAACACAGATGACAGCCCAGGATACAATACCCAGCAAAACCCTCAGTCATCATAGATGGAAAAAACAAGATAACAATGACAAAAACAAATTTAAACAATGGCTACCCATGAATCCAGCATTACAGAAGATAATAGAAAGAAAAAGACAACCTAAGAAAGCTAACTACATTCAGTAAAACACAAGAAATAAATAACTTTACTACAGCAAAATAAAAAGTATCCAAACACACAAACACATTACAATCAACATCAAAATCAAAGGATCTAACAAGCACAGGTCAGTAATTTCTCTCAACATCAATGGACTCAACTCCGCAATAAAAAAACACAGACTAACAGAATGGGTATGTAAACAAGACCCAACAATCTGTTGCATGC